TTTTTCCCCCAGGCAAAGGAATGGGTCACAATGGGGAGGAAATGGGTCCTTGTTTCCGGGGGTGAAGGCACAAAAGGAGGAGGAAAGGGCTGTTTGTCAGTCAGGAGTCTTTGCTTTTGTGAAATCCAGGGATTTAGGTTCTAATTCCTGAGGTGTGGGGGGGAGATGTCCCAAGGAACTCTCAAACCTTCCAGGGCCGAACGTGTAAATGTTACAAAAAAAGAGAAATATTAAAAACGCCCCGGAAGAGCCTCGAGAAAAAGGAGAAATGTTAATTTTGGGGTAAGAAAATTTAAAGCAGAGGTTTTTGTGGCTTTCCCACACAAAAATCTGCCTGTCCAGGAATTTGGGAATCCAAATATTCCCCCCCCAGCAGGTACCTGGCAGTAGTGGGGGGATTTGGGGTCCACATCCACCGTGGCCAGGTAGTCAGGTTTTTGGATGCCCGTGTTCCTGTAGATGCAGGGCAGGTAGAGCAGCTCCTCCCGGGGACCTGGGGGGCAAAAAGGCACCAGAAAATGTCATTTTTACCAAAAAAACGGGGTGACATTGGAAGGAACTCGGGGATTTCACCTGTCTGGGAGTCGGGATTCTTCCCAGGAGGTAAAGCTGAGTGTTGCCTTTTCTTTTTCTTTTTTATAAAGGAGGCCTTTGTATTTTATATATTTTATGTATTTTATATGTTTTATATATTTTATATGGTTTTTTATATTTTATATATTTCACATACTTTATGTATTTCATATATTTCCTATATTTCATATATTTTATAGATGAAATATATTTTATAGATGAAATATATTTTATAGATGAAATATATTTTATATGTTTTATATATTTTACATGTTTTATGTATTTTCTACATTTTATATGCTTAATATATTTTATATATTTCACATACTTTATATATTTCATATATTTAATATATTTTATATGTTTTATATATTTTATATATTTCACACACTTTATATATTTCACATACTTTATATATTTCATATACTTTATATATTCCACATCTGCCACTCTGGGAGGCATCCACCTTTTCTTCCCCTAATTCCCAAATAATTCCACTGCTGCTGGCCTGGATTTTTAGGGAAGCTGTCCCAGAACTTGCCTTTCATGGCATCCAGAGGACTTGGATATCCTGGGCCACAGGCTCCACATTTTGCTGATTGGGGAGAGAGAAAAAATCCAATTATTTCAACATCTCTGAGAGGACTGTGGGGTTTGCACGGGGAGGAGGAGGAATTTTAACTCCAGGTTTTAATTGGTGGCTCCAGGGTTATTCCAGCTCCTGGAAATATCCACAGGTGATGCTCCATCCTCGGGAAAAATGGGAAGTTGGGGCCTTCAGGGAGTTCAGCCCCCCCTTTTCAAAGCACTTTGTCTGTGCCAGAGGTCTGGGATGTGGGAAACATTTCAGGGAGCTGCCAGGGGAGTGAGGAGACAGAATTCCCAACGGGAACAACCCACCTGGTTATTCCTGGGAAGCCTCTGGGCTTTCCCTGCACAGAAATGCTGGAGAAGGGGGGATTTTTTTTCAGGATTCAGAGCCTGGAAAAGGAGGGATGGACCAGGAGGAACCTTCTCTCCCTGAAAAGCTCAGTTCCCTGGCCCTGCTCTCCCACCAGGGATTCCATCCTCGTTCCCACTTCTCCACCATGGAGTTGGGGACTGGAAGTGCAGCAGCTGTTTTTCCACAGCTTCTCCTCCTGGGAAGTCCTGGAGCTCTGGAGAGAGCCCAGAGGAGGCCACGGAGCTGCTCCAAGGGCTGGAGCTGCTCCTGCTCTGGAGCCAGGTGGGAATCTGGGAATGTGCAGCCTGGAGAAGGGAAGGCTCTGGACAGACCTCAGGAGGGCTGGAGAGGGCTCTGGGATGGAGGGACAGGACACAGGGAATGGCTTCCCACTGCCAGAGGGGAGGTTGGGAAGGAATTCTTCCCTGCAAGGGTGGCCAGGGAATTTGGTTTTCCAGGGAATTTGTGGCTTCCCCATCCCTGGAAGTGTCCAAGGCCAGGTTGGAGCAACCTGGGATAGAGGAAGGTGTCCCTGCCCTGGAATGGGATGGGTTTTAATGTCCTTCCCACCCAAAACAAAACTCAGGAGCACAGGCTAAAAAATTAAACTTAAAGAGTTAGAAACAAAAGGAAAATACTGATTTTTTTTTTTTTTTTATGATGGAATATTTATATTTTGGTGCTTTGCTGAGCACCAACATTCCCACCAGGATACACTGAGCCAGAATCGTTGGGTTTTTTACCTGATCGATGGTTTTTAACCTGGGCAGAATCACCTGTTTTTTACCCAACCCTTCCCTGTTCTGCAGCCCCAAGGTAACAGAATTCCTGGCGAACCGCACAAAGTTTCACAACCCAGTGTCCAAACTCTTTAGTCCCTCCCTCTATTTCCTGTCCCCGGAGCCAAGAATGGAAGTCGGGGGGGATCTGTCCTTAAAAATATATATAAAACAGAAGCAAAAAAGGTCAGTTCAGGTCCTCCCTCCCCCAGCAATCCCCCCCAGCGTTTCGTGCCCGCGAGCAGCGAGCGTTTATTTGGGTTTTAAACGCTGAGGGACTAAAAGAGACACTTAATTAGAGCCCCGGAGGCGTTCGGGGGGGGGATCAAAGCTCCTCCTTCCAAACCCGCGGGGGGTTCGGTGAAAATCGACCGGGAAAGGCTGAACCGACCCCTCCCGAGCCCAAATCCCGGCGGGATCCGGGCTTGGATCCAGGGCTGGAGCTCTTACCCATGTTGGAGAGGTTGGGAACGGGAAGTTCGGGTGCCCGGAGAGGGGATTTTGTGGAGCCGAGAGGGTTCTGAAGGGGCGGGCGGGCCCGGGGGAGGATCCAGCGCGGGCGGAGCTCGGGAAGGACAAAATTCCAACCGGGAGTCCCCTCGGGAAGGACAAAATTCCAACCGGGAGTCCCCTCGGGAAGAGCGGAGGGAACTTCTCTCCCTCCCTTTCCACCTGCGCCTCCTCCTGTGCCGCGTTTTCCTGGGAATTTCGCAGCTTTCGGGAAACGGTTCTGCTCCAAAAACCGGGATTTTGGGCAGTGGGTTGAGTTCTGCAACAGTAACGCACCGAGGCAGCTCCGGAAAAGAAAACTCGCTGGAAAAAAACCCGCTGGGAAAAAAAAAAAAAACAAACCACGGGAATTCCCTCCCAGAGAAAATCCTTTCAAGTTCGGCAGCTGCCCCCAGGGCTGGAAAATCTGGATTTCGCTCTTGATTCCAGCTGGGATCGGCTGAACTGTCCCTGGTGAGAATTCCTCTGCTGTTTCCCGCTGAGTTTTTCCAAGGAATGCACTCGGTTTTCCCCGGGCAATGTCACCTCTCTCATTTCCAAAAGAATTCTCCAGGAGAGGATCCCACTTTTCACACCCCTGTCCCACTTCCCTGCCTTTTGCAGAAACTCCAGGAAGAGCAGAAAACACCAGTGGGATCGTTCTTTTATTATCAAAGAGATTTAAAGTTATTATTGGTGGTTTTTAGCAAGAGAACCGTGTGCATTTATAATTTTGGGGGGGGGATTTCCCCCCCTCCTCGGGCACAGCTCCAACGATTCCCAAAGCCTTTTTTGCATCCAGCATTTGGGAATTAATCCCATCCAAGTGTCATCTTTATCAGAGGAGAATCCTTTTATCAACACCTTGGCATTCCTCCTCCCCAGGGAGGCAATTAGAGTGCAAAATTCTATTTATAGCAGCACAACAGGAGTGTGGAGGAGGCCAAACCCCCTCGTTTTTTGGCCCCAGTTTTTTAACCTGGCATCCAAAATCCAAATTATTCCTGGAGATAAAATCTGAGCTGGCTCAGAGCAACCTGCCTGGATCCTTGTTGACACAGAAAACATTCCCTGCAAGTCTCACCACTCTGATTTTTAGTTCATGAAGTGCTGCACAGGATGGAGAATTTGGGTTTATTCCCCCCAAAAAAAGCAGGTCTGGAAGCACAGGATCCAAAATACCCATCCCACCCCAAATTCCACTGCATTTCATGAGCAGTTGGAACAAACCCAGGCTTTAAGCCCAGGATTTCAAGTGTTCTTCATTTCGAGCTCACCCTCACCTGGTTTGATGGATTCTGTGTCAGATCTCGGATTCAGACCCTTCCAGGGTGGATATAATGGGAAAAATCTCTGTTTTCAATCTTTAAATTCCCCACTGGAGCTGCCAACAATGCCAGTCAGTCTTTCACCTACAGGCAGAATGGAAAAATGTCCAGTTTAACTCATGTCCTGGAGTTGATATTTGGATAAAATAGGGAAATGTTGGCTCCCTCCTCTCTGTTAGACTCATCTTTTTGTATAAAAACACCCTGAAAAGAATGAACTGTAATCCTGAAACGACTCAGAGCCTTCCACTGCTCCCAGATTTTCATTCTGGCCACAGAACAAATCCAAAAAACTTCTCTCCTCCCTCTCTGAACATCCCAGGAACAAAAACCTGAGTGTCACAGTGAAAACTCCCCGTGGTGGGGACAGACCCGTGGGTTTGGTTTCAAACAGCTGGAATTTGGGATAAATTCCTGGGCACGAGAGCAACAACAGCAGAGGGGGAGAAACACGTCACACACTCAGTGATCCCAGGGAAATCTGGGTGGAAAAGGAGGAATTTCTGGCTCTGAACTAATGAAAATCCACTTTTTTCCCTAGTCCATGGAATGAGTTACGACATATTTGAGGATTAAACTGAGCACAGAACCAATGAACGAGCATCCTCAGGCAGCACAGTGACCCGTTTGTGCAGAGCATCAAGGAAAAATATTTAATGGAGGATTCCCCACATTATTTTTATTTTTTTTTTGAGGTGAAACAACAACATTTTGCTTTCGCTTCCTGAGGAGTCTGGGAAAAGAATTTTAGGAAGAGGCAGAAATATTTATTTCCGCAAAGAAACGTGTTCTTTGGGCGAAAGGATGGGGAGCTCAGAGCTTCATGTGGGAATTAAAGGCTGGATTATGTGGATGGTTTCAATGCCTGGATTTAAAGAATGTTAATTACATTTAAATTTATCAGTAGCTAACTTCAAATTTATCCCAAATTAATAATAATAAATAATAATAATTGAACCCATTGCCCTGTCACCCCCTGCCAGTGCCGTAGTCACTCTCCCTTTTCCTGAGCCCCTTTTGAGCTGTAAAGGTGCTGAAAAGGCGTTGAAAGGCTGTAAATGAGGGGTAATCACTCGTGAAGGCAGCAGGTTCCAGGGATCCAGGTAAAGCCAGACCAGGTGAAGGCAACACCTGCCCCAGGCGGGGGATTTTTGGCAGGGAGCACCTTAAGGCAACCTCCTCCTCACCTGAGGCCTGACCCCTCCTCACAGCCCCTCACAGCCCCTCAGGGGGTGGCGGGCTGGGCTCAGGCCCAGCTCCGGGACACCCCGGGCCGGGTTCAGGGGGGGCAGCCCCTCGGCCCCGCTCCCTCCCTCACTCCCAGGCCGATCTCAAGGCCCCGCATCCCCCGCGGCGCCGCGAGGGGCCCGTGAGGGCGGCGCGGGGGTCGCGCCCCGCCGGGCGCCATTTTCCCCCCCCCCCCGTCCCTCGACCCCCTCAGGGCCGTCCCCCGTGACGTCACCGCGCGCAGGAGGAAATGACGTCACCGTATCCCTCCGCCGGCCAGGTCCCCTTTTTTGTGTGTGTGTGTATGTGTGGTGTGTGTGTGTGTGGTGCGGCTGCGGGCGCCGCGCGCGTGTATCAGCCCGCCGGGCCCGGCGCCCTTTTTTCTTTACCCTCCCCGTGAGCTTGAAGGGAGGGGGGGCCGGGAAACACGGGACACGCCAAAGCACGGAGCCGCCCCCCGCCAGAACGTACAGAGGGCGAGCAGAACAGGGATAATTCCTCCTCAACATCATCATCATCCTCCTTCTCCATCCTTCAGCATCCCGGGGGAGGGGGGGGGGGGGG